TATATATATATACACACTTAACCCATATTCCCCCTTACACCAAAAAAACAAACAAACAGAAATAAAACCACCAGGATTACAGATAAGGTTACTGACCACTCAACCTGTTAGGATGAATATGAGAGTTTTAAATAACAAATGGCCAGTTTAGCTCAGTAAAGAAAGAATCCTACATTTACTAGAATATAAAATCATTATTAAAAATCAATTGTATATAAAAATATATATACATTTGTGCCTGTATACATATATATATATATATATATATATGGGCTTTCGCACCGCGTAGTTCGAGGAACTAGCCAGCAGGGTGGTTACTAGAGAACCAATTTCTCCCTTGGGCCATTTATGGGATTAGATCTCTGCCACAATTCTGCATGTGAAAGATCATATTTTATCTATCTACTTAGATTCGCACGAACTGAGTTTTGTGGAGAAAATGTTTGTCTAACAAAGAAGAAAGTATTTCTTGATGATCATGTTCTTCAATGTTGTGATTGGTTGTCAAGGCAGCCAATCAGAATTGATCAGCCTCGTCTCTGATTGGCTGGAATTATGGCATATTGTAAGGCTGGGTTGTGTTGAGCGAGCGAGCCATTGGCATTTAGAGAGCACTGAGGGCGTGCATCAGGTGAGCAACCTAGTGAAACGTTGCACGCGCAAAAGAGAAGGCCTGCACACATCCAAAAACTTATTTTAAATGCAAAATTGATTTTCGTGCGCTCTAAATACTTTCTTCTTTGCGAGACAAACATTTTCTCCACAAAACTCAGATCGCGCGCATGCAAAATGCACTTTTGTGCCCTCAAAATATGATCTTTCGCGCGCAGAATTGTGGCAGAGATCTAACCCCATAGCCGTTTTCCTGGTTGCATTCGCACAGTCAGCAGGAACTTTGAAGCGGCCGATAGCGGCGTCTTTATTCACGGCATTTACATACGTCAACAACCGGTGAATGGAGAATGCCATGATCGGAGCTGTTTTTGTTGTGTGTTTTGGGTTTCGTGATAACGGAGATGGAATGTAAATGCACAATTTACGCGACTGAAAGAGCAAAAAGTTGGGCTAAGAGACTAAATCTCCTATGACAACTTGCAGTGTCACATATCGAGGCTGAGAAAAGAACACAACACTGCAGACAACAGGTAAATTAAAAACATGGAGTAAGTTTTTTTAAATGGCTTTTTAAAAATGTTAAAAAATAGTTCTAGGAACTTAATTGAAAATGAAAGGTTCCTCCGGTGCGAAAGCCCCTATATACATATACATACACATACATACATATATATATATATATATAAAAGAGTGAAAAATTTAAGGGGGTCTGAATACTTTCCGTACCCACTGTATATATGATTACATGTAATCATTATTTAGTTAAGATATTTATATATGACTATATATTAATTACTCGCTTGTTTAAAATATATTCAGTCCTGCCAGCCAATTTAATAGCCTCATAAATATATATTTTATTGGTCCTTGAAAGCATGAATTCCACTATTTTAAGTGTACGCTAAAAATAACATCCTGGACTGTTCTGTTATACCAAGTGTTGGGTGTGTGGCCAGTATGATAATATATACGATATACAGAAGCATCCAACAGACTAATGAGACATTCTTATATTTTTAACTTTTAGAAATTTTCACATTTCCCATTATATATGGAAACAATGAGTGCAAATTTACCATAAATTTCAGTGATTGTTTGCCATGTTCCCTTTTGCTGTAGCACTCAACCCGCATGAACTTCTGATGATCATGTTCTTCAGCATGATTTGAAAATGATCCAAAGAGCATCTGACCCCCTGTACAAAGTAGTTCACATGATCAGTGTCACAAATTTGCTTAGATTAGTGACCTAGAAATAGAAGTGTAGAAGCTTATGCTCAGTATATGATTAGGCGA